GGCGTCAGCGAGGTAGGGAGTTCGAATCTGTTGCATCTGGGCGGCCAGGATTGTGGATACTCTGTGGTCCATGAGCGAGTCACCGCAAACGGATCAATAACTTTTTATTATTTATATAATAATACGTGATGTACTGTTTCATATTTTGGACATATAAAATTTAAAAGTTTCTCAAATTTTTTACGTCTGATGAGGCAAATACTACCGGTTTTATTACAAATAGAGGAACATTAAAAAAAAAATTACATTCAATTGTATAATAATATATGTCGAACATGTTGAAAAATCTCTTTACATTTAACGTCTGATGTGGCAAATACCACCGACGTCGTCGGTTTTTAACGTAAACCTGTGTTGCGTCGTTGGTGAGTAATTATTACATTGGAATGAAACTGATAATCTAACACGAGGAAGAGCACATTGGTTCGAAACCCATTGGCCGTTTTAGTGGTTTTTTAGGACGCTGTTTTTCAGTGAGTACACTGTAAAACTCGCGTTCCATGCGTTAAAGTTGAATATTAGGGGGTTTTCAATTTCCGAGGATTCAATTTGTTTGGCATGGTAAGAAGTTAGCCTTTGACCAATGAGTTTTCATAGCATCTGCTCAAAAATGTAACGGTAGCGCAATTTCAATTGTTAGAGTATTTGTTAAAATTACGTTATGTGATATGCTAATTTGTCTCAAATAAAAATTATAACACAATAATATACTTATATAGTATTACATTTTATTCGTTGATCATGTGAGTTTTGTTGTTTTCATTTTCGACAACTAATGGTTATGAAGATTAAACATAACTAGTTTCTCATGATCTTGAAAAGAAACAAATTATGTACACTACAATATAACACACATGCATCCGTGAGATTGTGTCCTATATCATAGTCTTCACAGAAGAATTTCTCCATATTTTGGGACTGTACGTTTCAATATAGTTCGGTACCATTCCAATTTTGCCAACAAGTTGTTTTTTTGTTGCCATTACAGAATTGTCATCAAGGACGTTTTCCTACTCGATGGCAACTTTTTTATTTGTTGCTACACTTAGGCTGCCACAAAATGTAAGTTTCTCTATTTGAAGTTTGTGGTTCTATCAAAATCCTAGTTGGAATATAGTCGTGCATGGCTAACAAGCTCAAAAAGTGCATTGCATGTGTACGTGAGTATATATGCAGAAACATTTTTGTTCGTCGCTCTAAGGTTATGGTCATACTCGTCATCCTATTGATTATCGTTGGATGTAATGTATTGCATGGGAGAAATTTTCAATGTGCCGGGAATACGACCCGGTACACTAAGTGCTATAATATAATTGATTAAAATTTGTATTTTCAAGTTTCCAACCGATTATATTATGACACTTGTGTACCGGGCCATATTCCTGACACTGAAAAATCTCTTCCACTTTAAGGCTATGAGCAAATATACACTCATGTATAAGCCATGGCATCATATGTTTCCTTACGGCTCACGTCAATTTTAATTTGCAATTTTTGTTCTCTTTTACTCATCAAGTAATTATTCACATCAAAGATTGCAAGGAAATTGGAAATCGATTTGCAAAGCATCACATTAAAAGCAAAATGGAATATTGGGCTATCACAAAATGGAATTAGGCACTTCAAGGTAACTATGTTTGTGGTCCGTTGTGAAGTTTCTTAATTAAGACTAATGAAAAAGATCAACAAGTTTTCTACTACCATTGGAAAGAAGCTAGTAGAGGTAGCTTGAAAATTAAAGGCAATTAGAATTCCCAGTTTGAAAAATTATGTCCTAAACACGCCATCTCATTTGTGGTCGGATTGAATAAAACATATAACTGAATTTTACGTATGATGACACATAATAGTTAACCATTAGTTTTGATGTATGAATTGTTTGCTTTTGTCACCGTATGTTAAAGCTAGAGCATATCAAACTCGTAGTCAAAAGACTTGATCCAAAATAACAAAGTTAGAGTATCCAACTCAAATCGAACGTCATTTACAAGTTAAGATCGAGTATCATTTCGGAAGAAAAAGTTTACACGTTGAGAGTACTACACCTAAAAATTGGTGAAGGGTTCATGCCTCTGTTGTGGTGGCCACAGAAAAAGGCTACAGATCACTTTTTTGGTGAAGCAGATCAAAGGCGACATTTTGTTCTGTTTAAATAGGTAAATGCATTGATGTTGCATTATAACTCACTACATGCTAGCTTAGAATTGAAGGAAAGATTTACAACTTGAGAAGGAAATTTGACCTATCAATTATCAACTAAGATATATAATTATGTCACCAACATGCAATCCCCGTCCAACCCTTTTATTAACACAAAATAATTGAGTTTCCTTTGATACGTGTGTTCTATGAGTAGTGATGGGCAATGGTTATGCGGGTGGGTAACCGCGGTTAATTTACCCATAACCGCATAACCGTTTACCCGTTGAGTAATTGTCTAAACGGTTATACCCATATCCATGACCGTTTATAAACGGTTAACCATACCCATAACCGCATACTCATTTAACCGTAACCGTTTAATACCCGTTTACCCATTTATACCTTTTAACCCGTTTATCCCTTTTAACCCGTTTATCTTTTTTTTTTTACCATTACTCTTTTTTCACCCGTCTACATGTTTTTTAACAACTTGAAAATTAAAAAAAAAATTGTCATAATTTTTTTTTGACAATTAAACACCGTTATAGGTACATTCATCATACATTTCCATACTTTAATTTTTTAAGTCCTTATATCATTCCAATAATTGAAATAATAGTTTACAGATGATATTTTTAACTGTTACCAATGAAGGTAAATATAATATTTGCTAAGTATTATTGGGTTACAAAAATTATTTAGAAGACATTTCTGTCAAAGCGTTTCTGTCAATTTCACGGTTACCCGCAAGGAATTTAAATTAATTTGGCCAATTCCTTGATGATAAGAATCATCATTCATGTAGTAGTGTTATTGAGAGAATGACCGATGAATTCTTTGCTAATTTATTGGGTGTTAAGTATTATTGGATCGAGAACATGGTTTGTGTCAGTTTTACATATATAAAATAAATGGGTAAACGGTTACCCGTTTATAACCGTGGTTAATACTCATAACAGCCCATTTAAATTTCGCAGGTAAACAGTTATGCCCATAACCGTTTATTTATTTAAACGGTTACCCATAACCATAACTGTTTAATTTAAATGGGCGGGTAACCGCGGTTACCCATAACCAATAAGTATTTACCCATCCCTATCTGTGAGTAATTGCACTTGAAAATTCACTCAACCCGTGCTTTGTTCTTAACAAGTGAGTGTGTCATGAGAATTCTGATCCCTCATTACTGAAAACAAACCCCTTCAACCTATTGCAGTATATACACACACACACATATATGTGATCAAATTACTAAATGAATCGTGAAACACCAATCTTAAGTTACTTTTTTCTATTACTTAAAGGCGACGTTAATGATAAGATAGAACATGTTTTTCCTTTTTGTTTGGTGGATATAGTCGAACTGAACACACTTATTAGACTATTTACCTAACTGAATCATTTTTCACTCCTAACTTTTGAAGTAGTGGGGCGTAGAAAATTGGAAAACGATCGTCCAAGCGAATTAGGTTTTTGCATGCAGTCCTTGTCAAATAGGGTTAGCGAGATCGATGCAGCATGTGAGTGTTTGTTGATTGGCAATCACATATTTCAGAAAAAAACTCCACATTCAGCAAGCCTACTCATTTTATCTGTCTAGTCAAATTGGTCACTGAGAATGTGGCTTGTAAACCTCTACTCCGTCTCGGTGAAATTTTGACACAGTATCAGAGCAGACTGCTTGTCTGTGAAATATGAAAGCACTCGACACTTGAAAAAGGTTTTGAAACAGAAACTTCTGTGCTTCATAAACAAGAAGAGTCAATATAATTACCTGTACACCAAAAGAGAAAAACGAAGAATCTTTAAAGGGCGATCCCAAGCCAATAAGGATTTTGGTTTTGCAGGGGGACGAAGGACGTCTATTGTACACAGTCTTACTCTTGTTTTTAAAAGAGATTGTTTTCACGATATTTGACGTGTCACAATCCTTTAATTCTTATCTGAGTTTGTAGAGAATTGGCGTTTTGCTTGCACATTGGTTGGCTTGGATTTAAAGTTTACCTTCAGATTTGACATTTGTGAGTTGTGACTTCTAAACATTTGCTAAGCCTTTTTCTTTTGTTCGCTTGGTTTATAGCGACTCGATAATTATTCAAAGCATTCTCCCGTCCAAAACTGTTTACATTTTCCAATTTTTTTATATAATGAATTGTCGATAATTAAATATCAAACTCGTCATATGTAAGAGTTAAAATTCAAATCTTCCACTTATAAATAAAGGAGACTATAATTAGACAAATGCTAACGTATATTGATCACATGCCTTTTAATTTTATGTGTTAATTGACTCACCCAACTTACCAGTCATTGAAATGCAGATTACACCACCCAACAAATCAATTATCTTAGATCGTAAACAATGACGACATTGGATATTCGGTAGTGCGGAAAATTGTGATGATTTACAGCACATGTAGTGCTTACTATGAAAACTGTGTGTAGAGGAAAGCTACCAAAATGTTGAGAATTATACATTTTTTACCTAAAAATCGAATTGAAACCTTTTGAAACCGTACCAAACCAAACCGAACATGCCATCTCCAGTTCAGAGGCTCAGAGAAAATAAGTTAGCAATTTACTAAAGCTTTGACTCTTCTTTATTCGCGGGCCTATTTTTATTTTGGGCTTCGTTGTTGGGTCGGGCTCGGTTGCTAATATTCGAGCTCTGCCCCGTGTTTTCGAGCTCCACGTCCTGACATTAATCACCCCGTTTCCGTTGGAAAACTCAGAACGTGACTACTGCACGGGTGACACGTGTCCGTAACTGACGTGGGTCCCAACCCCTGTCCTCCCTGCCTGCCAACACCCGGGCGCCAGAAATTCAAAAATTAGAAACAAATCTTTTATGTTCTGCCTTCAGGTGCGCCTAAGCGGACGGAAAAGTTAACCGAAATTAAATAACGCAAGCACTCACGCCTGAAATAGCCGTTACTACTTCCATCTCCGTCTCTCTCTCTCTCTCTCTCTCTCTCTCTCTCTCTCTCTACAGCATTGCAGTTCTTCACTGGCACTCTCAAACCTCCAAGAACTCCAGCTTTACAGTAAGCATTTCTCTCTCTCTATTTCTCTGTTTCCCATGATTGCAACGCTTTTGGATTCATGAAGTTTTAGTGCATAAATCGGCGATTTCTTTAAATATTTCTGTTTTTTTTTTTCCAATAAAGTAGTTTTAATTTTTCAGGTTAAATTTGTTGAGAGCCAAAAATATCAAGAATTCGAAACGAGTGATAGTTTTTTTTTTTTTTTTTTTTTTTTGGTGGATTTAGGTTTTTAAGATTTGAACTTGATTTCTTTATACTAATAGTTTAATTTGTTCGTGAAGCTAGGGTTTCGTTTGCTCCAATTTGTTTCTGTTAAATTTTGCAATCCAAGAAAAGCAGTCTCTTTGCCACTATTAGGAAATCTCTGGATTGTTGGAGAACGAAAATGTGATTTGATTTACTATCAGTATTGAATTTGTTATGATCGGTGGTGATTCCGATTGATTTTGCTTCTGTGGTTTATAGAGTGGAGGTTAGCAAGTGAAGATGATGCCGGGGACACCAGCAACACCGTCGTCTAAGGTGCGAAGGACTCCGTGCTCCACTCCGGGCGGTTCTAAAGTCAGTGAGGAGAAAATTTTAGTTACAGTTCGTTTGAGGCCACTAAACCGCAGAGAGCAGGCGTTGTATGATCTTATAGCTTGGGACTGCTTGGATGAGCACACTATAGTATTCAAGAATCCGAATCATGAGCGGCCCTCAAACCCCTACACCTTTGGTATGCATTATATGAAAACTTTCGTGTTCTTCCTGTGCTTTCGCTAGTCTTGTTGTGTTCACTGCTGCAATTTGTCAACTGCGCAGGGGTTTGGATGTACGAAAATATTTTAATCTACAATATTGTAGTTTTAGGAAAGTGCGTTCCCTTTTGTTTTCTTCAGAGGGCAGTTTCTGGGCAGAGTTGTTTTTACTCAAGTAAATTATTGTTGTGATTTAAATACGACAGATAAGGTTTTTGGCCCGATGTGCTCAACTCAGAAGGTTTATGAAGAAGGAGCCAAGGATGTTGCTTTATCTGCACTTACAGGAATGAACGGTAATTGAACATTAAGCTGGTAACCTGTACTTTTATATGCATTTTATGTTGTGCCAAATGGAAATTTTCCGATTGTAAGTTTCCACCTTTTCTTTTGACAGCAACAATTTTTGCGTATGGACAAACTAGTAGTGGTAAGACATTTACCATGAGAGGAATCACTGAAAATGCAGTGAGGGACATCTTTGAACACATCAAGAATGTAAGTCATAGTTCATACTATGACCTTTTATATAGCTTTTGGAATCCTCTTGTGATTGCAGTAACCATTTTGTACTTATGCCTTTGTTGCTTTCTTTTTAATCTCGTAGATGCCAGAAAGGGAGTTTGTTTTGAAATTTTCTGCTTTGGAGATCTATAATGAAACCGTTGTTGACCTCCTGAAACGCAAATCAGGCTCGCTTCGGCTTTTGGATGACTCCGAGGTATACACAAGAAACTTTCATGATGGAGATCAAATGGATTCATTTTCATGTTAACATTTCATGCCCTTTCTGAATGTAGAAAGGGACCATCGTGGACAAGCCACAGGAAGAAATTGTTCAGAATGGCGAACATTTGAGGCACTTAATTGGAATTTGTGAAGGTAATCTGTTAATTTAAGTTCATTGCAAATTGTAAGCTGTTGGGCCAAAACTTGAGGTGATTTTGTTGAATTGGTGCTTTACAATTGTTGTTCCAATGAACAAATGTGTTGTTAACCATCCGATTGTAGTCGTCTTTCCTAAGCTACTGGCATTACCTTCTTATCATCTGGTGCAAACATTTTCCCATTTGAAAATTGGTGGCCAAATGTAAAAACCTTTCTGCATGGAGTAAGATGATCCTTGCACCATATTTTCTATTTTGTATGAATGATCTAACTGTAAAGTTGTCTTTGCAGCTCAGAGGCAAGTGGGAGAAACTTCTCTAAATGATAAAAGCTCAAGATCGCATCAGATAATCAGGCTGGTATACTGTAATAATGCATTTTTTCGGATTTAGAGTTGATTTTATGTTTTTTTGGAACATGCTTGAGGATAGAATTACCAATTTGTCTATTTTTTTCAGACCATAGAGAGCAGCCTCCGGGATAGTTCAGGGTCCATGAAAGCTTTTGGAGCCAGTTTGGTATGTTTATCCTCAATCAGGTGTTTTGTAGCAAACAACAACGAAATTTTTTTATCAATAGAATTTTACTAGAATTCTGGAAATCTGCAGAACCTTGTGGACCTTGCTGGAAGTGAACGCGCCTCCCAAACAAATGCAGATGGTACAAGGTTGAAGGAAGGTAGTCACATTAACCGTAGCTTGTTGACACTCACAACCGTTATCAGGAAGCTTAGGTAAAGCTATTGCCAAAAGGTTGACTCCTTTAGTTTTGTGCTAGATGTTCAAGTTCAACTTATCCTAATCCTGCCATTTGGTTTGGTGGTGACAAAACCTTGAAACTTACTGGTATTTTAACAAGGAAAGCTCCAATTTATGCTAACAGAACCTTGAAACTTACACCCTTTTGGTTTGGTGGTGCAAAACCTTGAAACTTACTGGTATTTTAACAAGGAAAGCTCCAATTTAAGCTAACAGACACAGAGTCATGAAATGATTTTGTTCTTATCTGTGAGCATGGAAGTCCATGCTCAGCAGTGGTATCTAAAAAAGAAAAGTACGTTTTTGGGATAAATGTGGAGAATTCGTGTGTTGTAAGTGCATGCAAGCTATCTAACAAGTTTTTCTTTCACAGCGGTGGAAAAAAAAGTGGTCACATACCATACAGGGATTCAAAACTTACACGATTACTGCAGTCTTCACTTGGGGGAAATGCTCGGACAGCTATTATATGTACCATAAGCCCAGCGTTAAGTCATGTAGAGCAAACAAGGAACACACTCTCATTCGCAACTAGTGCCAAGGAAGTCACAAATAGTGCGAAAATAAACATGGTACAAGAATTAACTGCAATTCAGTCTCTGGATTGTGTAATTGTAATATTTATTTCTTGCAAATTAGTTAAAGTTTTAAAAATAAAACTAGTCTAATTTCGTGTACATAATTTGCAGAAGGAAGTAGCCAGACTTGAAGCAGAGTTACGAAGTCCAAAGCCTTCTTATTTGAGGTCTATACTAGAAGAAAAGGACTTGAAAATCCAACAGGTACGGTGCTTGGAATTACAATATTTTTTTTTCTGTTAGTCAAATACTAAATACTTTTGTTAATGTCCTTCTACCTATGTGCTTGCTCTTAACTGTGAAGAAACTTCATTTGACAGATGGAAAGGGAAATGGAAGAGATAAAGCGAGAAAGAGACATTGCACAATCACTACTTGAATCAGAACGCAAAGCAAAGAAAGTGCAGAAGGTACTTTTGTTGTTTGTATATGTTAATGATTTCTATGTATCTGGATTAATGTAATTTTTTGACATATAAAAGTTCCAGGGGTCGGAACAATGTGGACCTTCTGGTCAAGTCGCTAGGTGTCTTTCTTTTCCTGGAGAGAATGAAATAGTTCCTTCTCATAGTAGAGATAATCCAGTAACTCCACGGTCTCGAACCAGAGGTGCAAACCGAAGAAAAGCCATGGTAAGGAGATCAGTTACTTCTACAGACCCATCCATGCTTGTGAATGAAATTCGAAAGCTTGAGCAAAGACAGAAGCAGCTTGGTGATGAGGCAAATCGAGCACTTGAAGTGCTGCATAAGGAAGTAGCCTCGCATCAGCTCGGAAATAAAGAAACTGCTGAAACTATAGCAAAGCTTCTGTCTGAAATAAAGGAAATACAAGCTGTTAGATCCATTTCAGAAGAGTCTGTGACCGGAGATGGGGCCAACCTGAAAGATGAGATCAGTCGTTGGCAAACCCAGGCAGAAGATATTAAATCTTTAGAAAGGAAGCTTGAGAACGTTCAGAAATCGATAGACCAGCTGGTTGTTTCATTTTCAAATAGTGTGGAAATTCCAGAATGCAAGGCCCCGTCAAAAAAGAAGAAGATTCTTCCTTTCAACTTGAGCAATAGTCCAAACATGCAGCACCTAATTCGCTCCCCTTGCTCACCTCTGAACCCTTCTCGTAGAGTGATGGAATATGAGACTGAAAACAAGGTTCCTGAGAACAACAATGCTATGCCTAGTGATGAAACAGCGGCTGGGAGATATAAAGTTACTCCACCAAAGAGTGACGAAAATGGTGCCCGTAAGTCATCCAAAGAGGGAAGTCCTGGCGTGCAGCATTCAAACACAGTTAATGTAAAGAAAATGGAGAGGATGTTTAAGAATGCTGCCGAGGAGAATATACGGAGCATTAAATCTTATGTGACTGAGTTAAAAGAACGGGTGACGAAGCTTTCATACCAAAAGCACCTTCTGTTGTGCCAGGTAAGATACATTTCCCTTGTTCTTCAATTTCAAGAGTGCTAGTGATGCTTTGTTCGAAATTATATATTACATTATATATGGCTTCAGGTTATTGCATTGGAGAAAGATCAAGATGCTGTAATCGATGAGATGGATAATATAGATGAATCTCTTCCTGGGACATGGGAGTTGACTTTTGAGGAGGACAGGAAGGAAATCATAATGCTGTGGCATCTGTGCCATGTCTCGATCATACACCGCACCCAGTTCTATCTGTTATTCAAGGGAGAACCTTCTGACCAGATCTACATGGAAGTCGAACTCAGAAGATTGCAATGGTTGGAGCAACACTTCTCGGATCTTGGAAATGCAAGCCCCGCTCTTTTAGGCGATGAACCTGCAGGCTCCGTTGCAGCAAGGTAAATCCATCAAAGTGTTCTTAGTATTCTAATTAGACTGATCAAGTATTTCAAGTAATCTGCTGAAATATTTGATATTTAATGACTTGCAGCATCAAGGCTCTCAAGCAAGAGAGGGAGTATTTAGCTAAGAGGGTGAGTTCTAAACTGACAGCGGAAGAGAGAGAAATGTTGTATGCGAAATGGGAGATTCCGCCCGGAGGGAAACAGAGGAGGCTGCAGCTGGTGAACAAGTTGTGGACAGACCCCCATAACATGCAAAACGTGCAGGAAAGCGCTGAAATTGTTGCGAAGCTGGTGGGCTTCTGTGAATCGGGTGAGCACATTAGCAAGGAGATGTTTGAACTCAACTTTGCGCACCCGTCTGATAAGAAGACGTGGATGGGGTGGAACTTGATATCAAATCTTTTGAATCTGTAAACTAGTAGTGAGTGGTTTCTGTTCACTGTTGCAATGAAGGTTGTGTTGTACAAAATTTTGTCACCGCAAGGAATTGCGATGTATGTATTTCTTTGATGCGATGAATACAACCACCACCACCAAGTCTTATCCGACTAAGTGGGGTCTGTTGTATGAATCCTAGAATGCCACTGCACTTGGTTTTGTGCCAAGTCTTCTATTTGCTTCAAGTATTACATATTTTTCTTATAGTCTCTTTCTAAGTCTTCGTATACCCATTTTGTCTTCAGTATTTGTCTTGTAGTCGCATCATCTAACCGAGCATCTGTAAGTATTCGGCAAACCATCTAAACCGAGCATCTGTAGGTATTCGGCAAATCATCTAAATTGATTTTCTCTTATCTTATCTTCAATTGTGGGCACTTCTATTTTACCTCGGATATCCTCGTTCTTGATCCTATTCTTTCTTGTGTGCCATACACTTTCAACGAAGCATTCTCATATTTATTATACTTTTTTTTTTGTTTCAAGTGTTGCTTTTTGACCACCTAACATTCCATACCATAAAGCATTGCTGACTTTATTGTTATCCTATAAAATTTTCTCTTTAGCACTCTCCAGCTTGTATTCTATGATTGAGAGCTCCATCTAATTCTTTGTCATTTTGCAATATAGATCCAAGATAATGAAAACGTTCACTCTTTAGTACTTCTTGATCTTCAATCCTCACTCATTTCTCATTCGGTCCCCCATTCCACTAAACTTGCACTCCATATACTACGTCTTTGACATACTTAGGTGAAGACCCTTAATTTTCAACACTTCCCACCAAAGGTCATGCATCGCATTTACTCTCTCATGCGTTTCATCTATCAGCGCTATATCATCTGCGAAAAGCGTACACTTCTTGCCAAAGGTTAAACTTTGCATTTACTTTGATGCAATGAATGTAAAGGTTTCTTTCAGTAGAATTTTATATGTCACTTGAACTCATGGGCTTGAACACATGACCTGAGGCGTAAATATAAGGGTGGTATTATCTACACACTCATTTTTACCTCTCACACTCGTACTGTCGGATCAAATGATTGATGAAGATCAATGAACAAAAATTAACAAGGGTATTTAAAAAGTAAAATTAGGTATGTGAATAACACTACCCAAATATGAATGTGTTCAACAATCTTGCGCTATTTTGGGAGGTAAAAGAGAAATAATCTTATAACCCGTCTTGTTTAAATAGTTTTGTAATTCCATTTTGAACATTCCAATCTACTATAGCACATACATTGGATTGACTATTAATCAACCCTTTTTTTTTTAATTTATATTTTTATTTTAGATTTTAAATGTCAGTTTCTTTAATAATACTTTTTTTTATCTTTCAAATATCCATTTGGAAACAACCAATTCCTCAAAATTACATTGTTTTAGGCTTGATTGTAGTAATGGTCCTTAAATTTTATCCCTAGTTTTGATTTTTAGGCTGGTTGACACCCGAAGGTGATGTAACCAAAAAGGAAAGTGATAATAAAGATAGTGCGCAGTAGTGGGAAGAATCCATAAAATACAATTGTTCAGAGCATAGATGACAGTACGACATAAGTAGTGCAGTTGAAACTAGTTAAAGTACTTATTACACAACCGGAAATAAGCTCCTACATTTATTTAGGGATATGTCAGAACTGCCAGAGATTCCTTGTACACCACAAAGAATTCATCTAACTAAGTCCTGGAGGGGCAAAAAACAAAAGGTGTGAGTGGGCAAAAACAAAGGTTTATAAAACACAGTTATTTTCTAAACATACTAACCCCTCATCATAAAGCAAGTATAGTTCGCAGAAAATCATACTATGTATAAGTATGAAATCAAACATAATCCAACAATAATTCCATAAATGCCCAAATCATAATGTCTCAATCGTGGCATAAGAAAATAAGGTGCTCATCAATCTATGCTAACACACGAGCTCATGTAGATAAGTTCTGCCATGAACAAGAATGAGTGTAAACATAATATACGCTATAGTACTACAATCACGTGAATACTAGCTCTAGGCGCATCACATACGAGTCCTAGTTGCCTATTGCAACCTAAGACAAGACTAGCACCTACAATGGATCCAAGGTGAGCGTGTGGTGCGATGTGAACATACACGTGAAGCCCGGCCCTGACTCGGGACGAGTACTACACTGGTGAAAGCATGCATGATAAGCAAGTAAAATGTATATGAACATTCCATAACAATTTATAAATCTCAACAATATAATAGCACTTACATGGAATAAATCATGGCATGCTAGGTATAATACTAATCCAAAAGCATTTGTGGAAACTATAAAACTTTACATACAACATATATAAAAAAAATGCTCACTCACTTATACGTAGTCGGATCGTAGCCTCTTAGCCTTGCTTGACCTCGTGCCTTCTCGGGATAATTCTCTTCTATATGTGAAACAACTATAGTAATTAATTAATTAGGACATACACTAAAAGGATAGGAAAATCCCCCATAGTTTGCTCAAACGGAGGGTTTAAATATACGAAAACATTCTACACAACGCCATAGACCTGTACACGTTGACCACGCGCCACCAGGTTGTGGCCACATGCGCCCCCACCGCAGGCCACGTGATGGCAGATCCCTAGGGAATATTTAGTCAGATTTGACGGAATATTCCGTTAAATCTAACATCGTCAGTTAATACCTTAACGGTGTTAGAATATTCTATTAATCTAACGGAATATTCCCCCTTCCTCTCCGGTAGAGCTCCGCCGCCGTCGTCATCACCATCTAGTTCGCCGGATTCTTTCAAAAGTCCAAAAGTGGACGGAAATGGATTGAAAATAGCTCGAAAGTCTTGGACCTAACTCTAACTTCCCAAGGCTACGTGCTTTCCAAGGAGTTGTGTAGTTGCTTCCAAACCTTCCAACTCGAACGGAAAGTTGTTAGAGAACTTACATCCGAGTCTGAGCTCCAAGATGCTTCGATTTGGAAGCTCAAAACTCGATCATTTTAGAAATGGTTTGTATGGATGAACGTGTGATGATGAGGGGGTGGTGGTTTGAGATCTGATCCGTGAGGTTTGATAATGGTGTTTGTGTTGCAAAGAGAAGAGAGAGGCTTGTTGTGAAGGAGAGAAGAAGAAGAGAAAGAGAGAGAAAGAAGGTGATAGTTTCTGATTGGCTGAAAAAGTGAGGGAAGTGAAGTGATTGGTGGGTGAGTATGGTCATGGGACAAATTTTTAAGGGAGAAGGTGATAAGATTTGGTACGATATAAAAATACATAATCCAGCTCACCTTATAAAAAACAGTGTTAACTTACCCTTGAATTTGACAGAATAGCAGATGGAATGTAACGTCAAGGGGTTAATTGACTTATTTCAAATAGTTAGGGGGTTAATTTATCAAAAAAAATAATTCGGAGAATCAATTTCAGCTTGAGTAATAATTCAGAGGGTCAAACGATAATTCACCAAATACATATGGAGTCTCCCAAACCAAAAAGGCCGTAAGGGGTATATAAGTAATTTGGCACGACTCCAATCGCTAACGCGAAAGGACCCTAAACCCTCAAACCCTCAAATCCTCCTCCTCTGCCTCCTTTCGTTTTCTCTACTTTTACAGAGCTATTGAAGGATAACGACGATACAAAATTCACAGAAAACATATTATTTCGAATAATCAAAACCAAAATAATTAAATAAACAAATCGGCGAATAATGGGAAGAGAGGTTCTGCAGCAACAGCAGCAGCAGCAGGTGGCGTCCGCGGTGGAGGAGCTGCTCGCCGTGAATCCGTACAACCCCGACATCCTTCCCGATCTCGAAAACTACGTCAACGAGCAGGTCTGTATATCTCTCTCTGTGTCTTTTGATTGATGGAAACCGATACTTGGGTTTGATTAGTTTGGGTTGAATGACTGGGTGATTTGGTTGTTTTAGGTTTCTTCACAAACCTACAGTCTAGATGCCAATCTCTGCCTTCTTCGCCTCTATCAGGTAATTTTTGATTGGGTTTTTGTTTTTGATTGGGTTTTTGTTTTTGATTGGTTTTTTGTTTTAGGTTTTGTAATTTACTGCAAAGCTGAGTTTTTTTTTTTAATTAGATTTTGATTTAGAATTTAATGCATACGTGAATTCTTTCTATGGGTTTGAAAATTACTGCAAAAGTGAATTGGGCTTTGTTTTGTTGCAATCCATAGTTTCCTGCAAGGGTGAATGGTTAATTAGTCTTGAATATTTTTTTAGTTGGTTTTTGTTTTAGAATCCATAATTCACTGCAAAGCTGATTTTTTTTTTAGTTGGTTTTCGGTTTAGAGTCTATGATTTACTGGAAATTTGAACTCTGTTAAATTGGTTTGTGTTTTTGGATTCCGTAATTTACTGCAAAGCTGAATTATTTTTAGTCGGTTGGTTTTAGGTTCTATATTTACTGCAAAACTGAACTTTGTTGTTTTTTCCGCTTGGAGTGCAGTTTGAGCCAAATCGTATGAGCACCCAAATTGTGTCCCGCATCTTGGTCAAGGTCTGTATTGAATCTTACTGCTTTGAAACGTTTCGTTTAGCTGTAAATATGAAGTGTGTTTAATGTTTATGAGTGTTATATTGATGTGCAGGCACTGATGGCAATGCCGTCTCCTGATTTCAGCCTTTGTCTCTTCTTAATTCCAGAAAGAGTGGTATAGTTCTCTCATTCACTTCCTTCTTTCAGTTTATTACATACTCGGTTACAATTTCTTTATCTTCATTCACATGGGTGACCGAGGTTTCAAATAGGTCGTGCACTCTGTGTGCGAGTTAGAATTGCAAATGGTTTTCAAGTTCCATGTTTATTCATCTCTCATTAGTTTCTGGTTCTCTCTTTTATCATCTTGACAAATTTCATAATAAAAATTTGAGATATTTTTGGATGGTGAATGTTGTTCAACGTTTGGCCAACGAAGGTTATTCAGCTAATTCCCTCTTTGTTTGCGCTAATTCTTTATTAGCAAATGGAGGAGCAGTTCAAGACACTAATTGTTCTATCTCACTACTTGGAGGTATGTTTGTCTCTGTAGTCTTTGATTCGGTACTCAATACTCATGCATAGTTTATAAACCTACTTCTTCCTTTTGCAGACTGGACGATTCAGTCAATTCTGGGATGAAGCATCCAAGAATCGTCACATAGTTGAAGCTGTTCCAGGTACTTTATAGATTTGTTTTGTGCTTTCGTGAGATCCATGGTTTCGATTTCTGGAACTGTTAAGGATTTTGTCCTGTTGTATGTTTATGTTATGCACGGACTTACAGAAGAATTGGTTGCAGGTTTTGAGCAAGCAATCCAAGCCTATGCAATTCATGTTCTTTCCTTGACTTATCAAAGGGTACCCAAATCTGTGCTTGCTGAGGTATATTTTTAAATTTGTACATACTCCGCATAGTTTTTAGGATGGTTTAAGCCTACCACTATACTAAGTTGAGGGAGGTCATTGAATTTTGTATATTGTGCTCTGCAAAACGTGTAATCAATTGTGCTATGTCACAGGCTATCAACATCGAAGGTTTAGCCCTGGACAAGTTCCTTGAGCACCATGTAGCTAATAGCGGTTGGATTCTTGAGAAAGTTCAAGGCAGGGGTCAACTCATTGTCCTACCTCGAAGTGAATTTAACCATCCTGAGCTGAAGAAAAACACTGACGATGGCATTCCATTAGATCACGTGGCTCGCATCTTCCCCATTCTTGGTTGATCATCATATTTGCTGATCTCCGTTCTTATGGCTCAGTTGGTTCATTCCGTCTTCTGTAGCTTTGTTTTATTCTGTTTGAGACTTCTTGAGTTTTATGTCGAAAACTAGACCGCTGCTTACTCCGGCGGCTTTCCTTGACCGTAATTTTATTTAAGCTATCAACAGAACTCTCCATCTCTATTCTGTCCTTTTCTTTTTGCTGTTTTCGATCCCAGTTTCTTTGCAGTTTCGACCGGCTCTGCTTCGTCGGCCTTGATCTTATGAGCATGAATATGGAATCGTGACAAAACAAAAAAATAAACCCATATTGTTAGCTCCTTATTGTACATACAACATAATAGAGCAAGAATCGAACTTGAAACATCCGAGCGCGAAATAAACGCTCTCAACGGAAACTAGGATGAATTAAATGGTGAAATTTTTATTGGGCCAAATTGGACAACTTATTGAATGAATATTTGTACAGTGAATCTTTATGCCAAACGCCTGGTCTTGAAAGGCTAGGCCTAAAATTAGCGCTTAGAGGCAAGAAGAATCGCTGCATCATCAGTTGTACTACTACAACAGTAGGGTCTGATATTCCGCAACAGTTACCCGGCAAAGTCAGTTTTTTCGCCGGTCCACGAATTAACACGACGGAAAATAAAAGAATCGACGGCCAGCAATTCTAAAGTGGAGCTCCAACGAGCAAAATATTTACAAGATTGAAATCTATTATCCATGAACTGACGGAGAAAGAGCTCCTAAAGAATCTCTTAACTGTTGACTATTTACTCTTCTGTACTTTTGGTATAACTTCCGACTGACTTTTTTCTTCTTTTCATGAACAAATCACTGCTGTATCGTACCCGAGGGCCGGGACAATCTGCCTCTAGGAATAGTATCCTCTCACGAACGCCAGAGGAACGCCGGTTCCACCGCCTTTGTTTCTCCATTGTTCCCGATATCACTAACACGCACTCTAATAGTTTCTGATCCGTGGATCAGCATCTTTTGGAAAGTGCTCGAGCCAAATGAAGGCAGGAACGAATTATTGAGGAAAATTGATTGAGAAATTCAGTGGCATAGCGTCTCTCCGAAGTTGACCCAGTTCACAAAGCTATCGGGGTACTCCTCGAGAACATTGGAACTCTCCCCGTTATTAAAGGACAACCCCGTTCCTGTCTGCTCCTTCCCCTAGAGAACATAAGGCCACAACAAAGAAAAATATCAACGAATGAAAACGGTGTCATATGTTGAAGTGAAGAAAAATATAAGGAACAAAATTCTACAGAACCGCAGAATTTAATCTACTGGTTTCATAAACGGCTACTGTTAAGCGACAATATTCATTGCAGATGGTTACTTACCTTCAAGCTTGGTCCATATTCACTTGTAGACGGAGTAGGATCCCCCATTATTCCATTAACAATATTCTCCGATGATTGCCCCTCAATTGGAGAGTTTGTAAGTACTGACGACCTGCAATTATTGCATCTCAAGTCTCAGCCAACATACATGTTAAATACAACACCCCGAAAAAGAAAAGGAAGAAAACAGGCTTTCAGAATTTCCATCCTCTTAAAATTTTGTTAACCTTTTTTCCATGATCAACAAGAATAGTATCTCTTCAGAGCTCGATTAAAAAAGTACCTCTCAAATGGCTCCTCCTCACAAGAATTTGCAGATGAAGATAGCCAGTCTAGGTCAACAAAGTTTGAGAAGTTGTACGAATCTCCGTGTTCAGAATAGTAAATATGATCACTTTCACACCGGAATCTTTGAAACTCTCCAAACAGTTGCCTGCGAGGCATTGAAGGAGTGTACCTACAGAGATACCCAAACCATTGAAGCATCGTGACATGTATAGCAAAAACCGTATTATCCAGTCTTCATAAATCACAATATTACTTTTATAATATACCCATTTTGGTTATATGCCTTTATGTTCCGATTTTTCCATTCTACACGAGAAAGAATTTATGGCATATCATGTGCTAGTGAAGAAAACAGGATTCATTCTAAAATCAACTATTTCATACTCTATAAATCAACTACGTTTTTCCGACTTCCTAGTTTCTCATGTGCTCTTTGACAAGTTTCTTCTCCTGATTGGTTTCCAATTTAAGATAAGTTACCTAACAATAGAGACATTACTTTATCATGTTTCAACAATGCTAGCACCAAACAAACAGCAGTTTGCTTGCTGCATCTACCAAGGAAAGTACTGAACCAATAAAGACAGCATTGTAAGAAAACCTTGAAAATGCAATATCACTCTCAGAAGTTGATATATCAGGTGATGACTCCGAAAGAATCTTGCTTTCTTGTTGTGATCGATCAGGCATACAAGGGTTTGTAAATTTCTGCTTAACATGTGTGGATGAAATAGGTGAGCTGCTTTCTCGAAGAATGTTGCCATCTGAATAACATCTTTTGAAAATGGACCTACAGATATAAAAGCTATCAGGTGAGCAAATGGTCCAGCAATCAAATTGTAGGAGACATGCATAAGTAGAAAGCAGCTGAAAATTACACAATAAATACAAGATCAAACACATGTTATGGCCCATATATCATTACTATTTGGTACACATGTTAAGGAAAAGATATCCATCAAGGATCACGCCAGTGAAAATTCATTGCAAAATATTCATAGGGTTAAAGTATGCACAAAATAAGCGCAAATATTTCATTGTAAGGTTCAAATTCACAACCATTTTGGACCGAAGGCTCCTCTGATGCGGCTAAAAACATACAATGGGACAAAACGATGATTGAATTTAAATTTACTCTATGAAATACCAAGTTACCAACAGGGTTTTATCCCAGTGCCTCCATGGATAGAAAATGTCAGGACAATCGCATACGAGTTAAGGGAAATCCCAGCATGACTTGTGTGATGCACAGAGTTGGAGACTCAAATTGATGTATTCTGACATAAATAATGAATTCTTGAGGCTTTAATTAGGACATACCTTCCATCTAGATCCTTATCTTTTGTTTCATCCCTCCCAGAGTAATAATGTTGGTCAGAATCCAATTCCCACAGTGCAGGTTTACCTTCTTGTGGTTGAAAATGCCCAAGAAATCTGCTCAAAATATTAAAGGAATAAAGTCAATTCTAGCACTATATGCATGCAGTAATAAAAACCAACATAAATCAACGCAAGGATCGGCAAACAGGAACTTATAAAACACAACAGTTTCAAAGACAGGCGACAATACAATAAGTTATAACATTTATTGGCAGGCAGAAAAGCTCAGGGGAAAGAACTATCCTTTTTACAGCGCTAAAGTTGAAAAACAGTTCAACAGGAAAATACGAAACTGAGACTTGGTGCAGAACTTACACATTAATTGCATCTTGCTTCTCTGCATCCATATAAGCATTGCTGTAATACCGTTGAAGAGTTCTGAAGAACTCCTGAGACTGAGTTGCTGCTCTCCACTGACCCCTTCTCTCAGAAAATATCTGTGCAGAATTACAAGTTCAAAAGTTTTAAAGATAAAATATAAAATATAAAATCAAGGTCACTGTTTAACCAATGATTTTTATTTTTTGAGTTGGAAAACAAAAATTACTTTACAAGTACTAGCACCAGTATCTAATCAACCATCAGATCCAAAGCATATTAATTCATCAACATGCGAAATCAAACTTCTTACCTTGTTATGAGCAGCGGAACCACCGTACTGGTGTGCAAGTGTGTCACCCATTCTTTCGTAAAATCCCATCAAGTCATCAGCCAAAGGAGCATCAAGGTCTATCCTTGGATTGTCTATAGCTCCCAAAGCATGAAGCTGGTGTCCCAATGCAGCCAACCCATATGCATACTGAGCAACATTTGTGCGATCCAGACAGTCTATGCAGTTGGTTCTAAGCACCCCACTCTGGAACATGGATGGCTTGACAGAATGATCACCATTTGCAATATTTCTGCCTCCACTTGGTTTACACTCTATGTTATCAGCATCCTCTTTACCATTAGCTTCCTCATCACCATTAGCATTATGTATTTCAACAGACTGATCACCATTTGCAATATTTCTGCCTCCACTTGGTTTACACTCTATGTTATCGGCATCCTCTTTACCATTAGCTTCCTCATCACCATTAGCATTATGTATTTCAACAGACAAGTTACCACTGTCAAAATGCCTGTTCCACATTTACACTGTCAATGTTCTTTCACCGCATTTTGCTAAAGAGCAATATAGAGCAGTAAACCTCTTATGAGATCATATTATCTTATCATTTGATGTAAATCTTTACGAAGGCAGTGAACAAAAAAGTGCAACCACTTTCTCAAAGAGAGTGCCCAACAGGTTATGGAAAATTGTTCCCCAGTATAAAAGCAAGCAGAAAACTGGTTGAAATATCTTTCAATTCAGAGAGAGAAGAAAAGTTTCTCGAGGGTTTAGTGAGGGACACCAAAAATAAAAAATGCACAATAATTGCCGTTATATCTGCATTTTTTTTTCTAATGACTAAAAAGAACAAATGGTGGAAATTATAACAGACAAGCAATAGAACAAGTTTATAGTACAAGACAAACAGCAATTGGAGCATGAAAACCATCAAAACGAGATGACAACTTACCCAGAGGAAGGCCACTTAATGACACTGTCAGGTCGCAGTGTTGGGTTAACTTGACAATAGAAGAACCCAGTTAGTGTCAAGGCATATGTAGCCACCTTGCCCAAGAGTAGTAAAGCATTTATAGCTTTGCTGGATGGAGGAGAAACAATGGTAACATTTTTCAGTCAATTTAATTTAGAGTACCACATGATTAAAATAAATATTACAAACCAACCAGAAGCTATACCTCCGGGAATGCTTGTGGAGATCCCAGTGAAGGAATCTCAGACGGTTCTCATCAGATAGGTCTTTATTAATGAAATCAATTGCATTAGCAAACTCTGTACGCAGTATGGACTCTCGAGGCCTCTTCTCTTGTGTCTGTTGATTGCCCAAAAATAGATAAGCAAACAAATAATTAGAGCAGAAACATAAACCAAGTAGCCAAGAAGACAACCAAAAGGAACATGTCAATTTCAGTTCAGCATATGTACTACAATTAGGCTCAGAAGGCAAGACTCTAGGTGAAAATTAGTTTCTCCGATGACATGCAGTTCAAGAAAGCAAGAAAAAGAAGATGATGAATATTAATATGATACACAGCATCAACAAAGAATCTGTCGCTGACAAAATTTACCTTGATCAGATTCAAAATAATTACGGGGTTCCCATATCTCTTGACAAGATTTTCAAAGTGAAGCCTAGTGGCTTCATAGTTTTGGTCCTTCTTTGACACTGGGAGGAGACACAAGTTAGTAACAAGAATTCATGGAATAAATCTTCACAGATGCAGTTTATGCAAAGGACATACATATTATATCTGGTTTGATATTTAAACGTGAGGTTTCCTGTGACCAAAATAGAGGGATTGAGCCCCGGTTCTGCACAACAGAACTTATTTGCATAGGAAACCCCTCAGGAACATCCTCACAGACAATCTGTTCTGTCTCAACATCATTAGCTACTCTTCCCTTCTCATTAACACCTCGTTTTAGATACCTACATGAGTAAAAGCAACAAGTGAGGCATGCACAATATAAACATGTCAATAAGCATGTGAACCTATAAATAAAAAAATACATATGTTAACATCACATACAAGTAGGCAGTCATACATAATGAAAAAAGTAAAAGATCTTCATCGTGTTACACAGCTTCGAGAAATCTAAAGTTATAGTATACTAAGAAGAAAATATCACATCACAACTTTGACAATCACGGTAAAGATAGTCATCTTCTTTGAAGTACCGACCACATAATCAGCAGAAAATATCCCAGATGTACCGCAATAGAGGGTTCCGGATTACATCTTACAGGATTATTCAAACCTAGTAACCAATAGTTTGAACATAGTCACCAGAAAGCCAATCCAGTTCTCTCAAACTATGTCTACGCATCCATTCATATTAAGCATGGAATTCGATAAGGGAACCAAAGTATGAATGCCTCCTCACCTGGTGCCTGCATAATGACGTGAACGTCTTGCAATAAGGGTCAGCTTGAAGTCACGTCCAGATATAGAGAAAGTGGCCTACATTTAAATATCATTAATCCATCAGTATAAATAAAGATCAAAAAGAGGACAGAAAGACTGCACTCAAGTTTTGCCATAAATTTTGAAACACGAAGAGCAGGTAAAGATCTTAAGAAGGTAAAAATCACAAAAGCACATTTACTTGAACAGATATTTTTCTACAGGACTTCATTCACTCCACAAATGAAATCACCAAAGATGTGAGAACCTTTGTATCAAAAGGCAGTAAAAGGTACCAAATTTGCAGTTAAAACAAGTTAAATACCCCATTAACGGGTATATTTGAAACCTGTACTAAAGCGCTACGTATTAAACTAACCAGATAAAGCATTACTAGTTTCTTTCCAAATTGTCTAGAAACCATTCAAACCTCACCTGTTTAAAGAAGCCATAAACCAATGCAACTGTCCAAACGGTATTTTGGAGGTGATTCCGAATTCCCCGGGTTAAGAACTCATTCCAGACAAACATGGTTTCATAAAGGACATGACCTGTCTCATTCTTACACATGTTCTTTTGCAGACTACGCATAACATGGTATGAGTAGCTGAAAAAGAAGTCCTTTGTAAGGTCCACTGTGCTTAAGAGCTTCTTATATCTGAAGCCATCAAAGAAGTAGAGAAATCATTATAAGTTGAAACCACACAAAAAATTTAGAATAAAACATTTGGTAAGAAAAATAGCAAAATGGGTGAACTGTAATATGAAAAGATTTTACAACATAAACCTTGGTAACACAATGCTTCTCCATAAATAGGATTGAAAATGTACTCACTAAATTTTAACATGTCTGTCCTAATATTTGCAGAATTTCAGTAAATATATACCTCCATGCCAGCATATCATGACATTCTTATAGAGCGAGGGGAAGAATGTCACATCATAAAAAAATTAATTCCCTTCAAATAGAAGAATAAAATACAGTATTTTTCTGAGCAATATTCATTGTTTCCTTCAATGTCCACTAAATAAATACATGTACAAGCAAAATGGACTAAAGACCTGTTTTCATTTTTAGAATTAGTGGTACTGGATAGGACAGAAGAATTTGGAAGTGGTATCATTTCACTCTTGGAAATTGCATAGACCGTATGCCCACATATGGCACCTATTTGTCTTCTTTTCGTGATAAGCAGCATGTAATAGGGCCCCAGAAATTTTACAAATCCTGAAAGCAGAAAACCAAAATGAGTAGTGAAATTATTTTGATTTTTCATTAATTGAAGGTGATGTCAAAGTCCTATACCAACAATTCCGTAACAAGTGGTAACAAACTTCAATCCACCGGTGGCCTTGTTCCCTTCATGTATCCGCCTCAACAGGTCAGAACATTCTCTTTCGGTGTACGTAGTAGAATCTTCACGAATGTTAAGCTCACAAGGGTCCAACCGGTCAATCTTTAGCACTCTCCAATATGTTCTACTCTTATCTCTCCCAATCATGTAAAAGTTCTGAGGCATGAAAATGTATAAGTTAGTACGCATTGAAACCCACTTTCCACAAAGCACAATTAACATTTAAACTGATGAAAATGCAGCAATAACTAAACATATCATAAATTTACAAATTTGAGATTTCATATGGAGGCAATACAAAAAAACAAACACATTTTTTGACAAACTTCACAGTTAAACAATGTAAACATTTTCGGTCCACCAAATGACAACAGATTGAACATAAACGGATCGAATGCAGCTGAAACATTACCGATCGAGTCCCGTATAGCCGGAATTTCTGCATATCTACGTGTTGAGGAGGAGGCCGAGTTTCGTCGCCACACAATTGGGACAGAGGCTCATTCTCTGAGGACGCCATCAATTCAAGCTTCGAAATTTTCAGATCCCCGAGCCTCAGGCTCAGGGTTTCTATCAGAATGGCATGCACAGAACAACCAAAATCCAAGCCACACAAAATCTTGTACGACCGAAAAACTACTCGAACTTCATTCACCTAAAGAACCCCATGTATGAATTGTGGGGTTTGGCTGCTTCAAATACAACATTTACAATCAAAATCCCAGCTTTTACAAAAAAATAAAAAAAAATCAAAACCTTCAGCTGCAGACTTTGACCTTGCCAATTCCAGCTCCTCCTCTTCCCATTCGCAAATCCAAATCTGGGTTCGTTTCAGGAAAGCAAGATTGAGCTCCTCCTGGTTCAAATTTCTGATCTTTTCAATCAATCAAATCGAATAAAGGGGTCGGAGAATCAATTTTTTCCGGGATCGAATAACCCAATTGCCAAAATTAAGCAGGCTATCGGAATATATGCGTATAATTATAGATACATACAGAGAAAACGCAGAGGCGAAAGATAAGAGGAGAGAGAAAATGGAGAGAAAATGGAGGTTTGAAAATGGAAGCTTTATATGGAAGGGAAAAGCAGCAACTCGGAGAATATCAAGCAGAAAATTTTGGGGACGAAAAGGATGATAAATACAAACGCAAAATGAAAGAAAATAAATTGCGGAAAAATAGAAAGAGTTGGGAGGTTCGAGAAGAAAGAGGCGTTGAGGGCTGAAAACCTGAAACACCACAGCGTTGTAGAAATTTAGAAGAAAAGGAACAGAGACCTAATTATTGCTAGTCATGTTTTATATATTATTTTATTTTATTTTTTGTATGATTTGGTATTTTTCTGTGAGAAGAAACGTGAGAAAAGGGAAGGAGATCTCACACGGACCAAAAGGAGGCCACAACCTTGGGTGACCAGCTCAAAGACAGTCCACACATTTATTTAACGTTTTGAAAAAAATCGCAACTCGAAACTGCGGTCAAGTTTGTACTTTTCTTCACTTATAAATGAGTAATTTAATTTTCATTAAAATATAAATTTGAACCACATTATTATAGTTTTTGTTAAAAAAAAAATACCATTTTTATTGTTAATTTATTATGATAAATTTCATGTAATTAGTTGCTAAATTTTGGTAATCTTTCATTATAATTTGTTGCCAATTTCAGCTGACCTTGGTTTATACTTAATTCCTTTTATCAGCCGACAACATAAGTAACAATGATTGAAGTTAATTAACCTTGTTAACCATAATTAACGTGTGTCATTAGCTTAATTGCCAATTATTATCATGTCACCATTGTGTTAACAGCGTTTTTTTTTTCCTTAAAAAAAGATCAGCCGGTGGTTTCATCATGACAATCAACCCTTTTGGAATATTTTGTTAACCAAGAGTTTATATAGGAATAGCGGAATATGAATATCTAATTCTAATTGTTAATGGGACAACTCACACTCACTGGCCAGTGCCCATTATCATGTGATTCACGAGCGCTAGGAATCGAATTCAGGATGTGTCATGTGAAATAGGGTCTGTAATTCGTCTCCAATCACTGGATTACCTTGATATATTATTTTTTATGTGATTTGATAAGCAATACCGTGTAAGGAAAAAATCAAACTCAGGACATCAAAAGCAAGATAAAAAACTCAAAACCAAATGACCTACAAATCTCTTGCTCAAAATTATTACTTGATTTGATCTCCTTTGGTTATTACTTGGATCTTGTCATCTTTCTAAACAACCGGTGAACCCTAACCCTAACCCTAACCCGCGTAATGCGGTCAAGGGAAAGCACTGTAAACAAGTAACAAGTTCACAGCTCATATGTTATGAAAGCAACATGTCACTCACGAACTGCAGAAAAAGAAAACTCCATTGGCTTTGACGGATGAGGATCCCATCAGGATCCAAATGGTGGGGATCCTAGGGATCCTCACATCTTAACCGTTCATCGTATATCGTACGATTATAAATCAGTTGAATTTTATTATTTAAAATTAAACATAAATGATACATGACGAAAACTAACCGCACGATATATGATGAACGACTAAGATGTGAGAATTCCTAGGATTCATACTATTTAGATCCGGATGGGTTCCTCATCCGGCTTGGACTTCAATGGCCGTACCAGAAATCAAAGATTGTGAAATATATCAATTTTTATTGATTTATTTGTTTTCATATACTATATACACATTGCTTTTTTCTTGGTCGGAAAAATATATATTTTGCTGATGGCTAAGATCGATCGGGCGATCGACAGGTTGATGTGAAGTGCAGTCATCAAATTAAACCACTCGGATTTCGTCTTGGACGCAGTTGCACCCACGATTTCTTGTCACTTTATTTAACACCTGTCACTCATCTATAAATAATTGAAATTGATTAGCATCACTGTTCACATTAGTATATGCTACCGAGAATTTCTTAAAAGTAAAATTTTTTATAAATTTTTTGTCAATTCATAATATTTAATAATATTAGTATAAAAATTGATGTTAAATTGTAAAATAATAAGAAATTCATAAAGAATCATACTTTAAGAGTTTTCGTATTATTTTTCCATTAGCGTATTGCCCTTACATGAGTTGAGTTCACATTCTACATAGTACATATACAAACATCACCGTTAGGAGTTGGGAAGTCCTTTCAGAACAAACTGACAAATACGAGTCAATTTTATTTAAAAACGAGAGAGTAATATGAACAAAATAAAAATGTGCTTCATAATTCAATGCTCTGTTCAATTATTGATGTCTTGGTCGGATTTCCACGTGTTCAAAGTCTCCCTATTTGCAAGGTAGTTTGATTGGAGCAATTTTTGGACATGAATATCGCACAATTGTTATTGTCGTATTATAAAGTAAAATTTTTAAATTGTTGGAGTGCTATCAATTTACGTCGGTACATAATATAAGAGGACAACATGATTTTAGCAAGTTGACCAGATAACATTGTGCTTCACCCTACACGCATTCAAGTTATGTCCTTATAATTTAGACTAATTTAGTGTAATTATTTTATAATTTGAAAACAAAAATATACATGGTATAACATAAAAAATAAAAACAAACTTATAACGATGAGACACTGAAAAAGTTTTATCCTAATATACACTCTCGTTGTGTTAACATCTATACCACGACCATGAGGTGTTAAATCTCCCCTTATCCGCAGGAAAATCTTCGTCACGCACGAAGGCGGAGGAAAAATGCAGGCTAATGGAGATTTTGGCGCCAAATCTTCATTAGCCTGCATTTTTCCTCCGCCTTCGTGCGACGAATATTTGTTGTCATCAAGCAAAGGCCTCTTGTGCGACAAATTTTCGTCGCTTTGTTTTGTGCGACATATCCTTTACTTCGTCGCGCAAATAATTTTCGTACTATTGATTGCCATCACAAATTGCCATCACAAGCAAAAACTTGATAATGCCAAAACAATTTTGGTGGGCGGTGGGCAGTGGTAGTGAAGTTGTGAGGCAGCATATGCCGTACGGCTGAGGCAGGCTTGAGTATATACCATATGCTCTGTTATTAACCAAACCATATGCTTTTTTTCTTCTACGAACGACCTACCAACTTTAATAATACACAAATAGCACTTAGGAGGTTTTTTTTTTTATTGTTTTTCTTTTCTTTTGGTAATTGGCACGTGTGAAAGCCAAAAGTAGAAGGAAAGCCACCGAGGGCTGACAACAACAAACAATGAGAAAGCAAGGAGGATATAAGAATTACGAGACGCAGGCGAACACATGCATTCATGTCAATCCAACGCTTGCTAATTTGTTACAAATAAATAATCTGCCACAACCATATCATTCAACTCATTTGATAATTCAATTCCTACCTAAAATAATCAATCCTAATGTCAACCAGAAAAATGTGTTTCACGAGCTTTCGCGTAAATACCATCCAAACAAAAAAGCTTGCCAATTTTTTATTTAGATTCTACTTTAAGCATGAATGTAACTCTATGAAAATCTTCGTAAAAAAAATCCTTTAAAACTCATCATGTGTTGCGCATGTAAGTCCGTACTTTGTCATGCGTATTTTCTCTACTCTAAAAATTTTAGACTAGGGATGGAAGAATAATATAGGCTTAGTTTTGATTAACTAATTACGGCAATTAACTATAATAGGCAGTTTTAGGGAAACCCTAACTTCTATAGAGTGTATCTCTCTACCAACTATTTAGTGTATCTTTATTTATTTTTTCTTCAATGTATTATGTGACAACCCGTCGCTTATTTTACGTTTTTATTAATTTTAAAAGCGTGAATTTACGAAAATGCCTTAGAGGCAAGGACTTTGACTTCCGTTAACCATCGGTTTAAGAGATGTAGGACTTATTCTTTTAGCGTATCCTCGTAGTACTCGTTGGTACGAACGCATAGACGAAAGTCGTTTGCGAGTCCGGATTATAACGGTATAGTTATGGACGTTTGAAAATGGTTATTTAAAGCTTAGTTATAAATTATTTGAATTCCCACATTGTGGGAAAGTGGCCCAATCAGACTTGTGTTAGTAAAGGACCAATTAGATAAAGGAGTGAGTGACCAATCAGAAGGGGAGGAAGGAGGGCAGCAATCAATCAGAGAAAGGGAGAGAAACTCCCAACTTCTCTTTCCCGTGCACAACCCATAACCACATTCATGACCTTCCATTTTCTAAGGCCCATTCCGGCCAACTCCGATGGAGTTTTTCGACGCCACCATCACCATCTTGAAACTCTTATTCCTCTCTACAAAACCCAACCAAGAACTACCTTTATAAACCACCACATGTGGCGGGGCGAAGCCCTGAAATCCGATGTGTCAAAACCGTGTCCGGCCACTCTTTTCAATTTTTCGGCGAATCGGAAAAGCAATGGCCGATGCCACCACTTGGGCTTTGTAGCCCATCATCCCAGGAGAAAATCCCAACCAACCTTGACCCCGTTGGACCACTGTAGACAACGAATTGATGCCGGGAAGCTTTAGGCATCCGCCGGCTTTGTGGACAAAATTGACCATCTTCCGTCCACTTTTGGACTTCGTAGCAGGTATGAAAGTTGTTCCTCTCTTTGAGATCTTCATTTATGTGAAATTTGGTAATTTTTGGAAATAGTTAGATTTTCTGACGAGTCGGGACGGCCGACCACCACCTATGGCAGCACGTGGCCAGGGGGCATCGATGTCATCATTTTTAGGCTAAATTAGATTCCTTGAGTTTAGTCTTGGTAATTGTATGACATAGGTTGATGGTTGGAACCTAAATTCTCTACGATATGTTAATAGGTCATTGTATGAATCGACGATCCGACCGTTGGATTGTCGCCAAAATTTAATACATTATAGTACATAATATTTGAGAACTATATAAACTGACGGATCAGGAATCCGACCTACAGATCTTCCCGAATTGGATTTGTAAGTTCATAAAATAAAACGTTGACCGCCACTTGAATTGACAATTGGTGGAGATCCAACCGTTGGATCATAATGAAACTTTAGTATTATGTTGTAGAAGTATAATGTGTATCCTTGGAAGTAACAGATTGGAAATCCGTAGTGCAGATCTTCCGAATCGAATCGTAGGGGTGTGTTTTATGTAAATTATGTATTCTATCAGTAAGAACTCTGAGACATGATTTGATAATTGGTCACATGCGACGATAGTTCGTGAGGTCTCGATATTCATGATTGGGAGTTGTAGTGTGGACCTAAGGTGAGTGGGTCTTTTCCTTTTTATCATATGTATATAATTGATAGTTCCACAAACGCTTCTAAATTGATTTATGCATTGTTTATA